TAAGTCGCTCTTAGGGTAAAAGGTAACGACTAAGAAGAACGCCCCTCTCTAAAGATTAATAGTAGCTATAAAGCTATACCTACTACTTATAAAGACGATCTACGCTACCCTTATAGAAAGTACTATACTAGCTAGTAATAGGCTAGTATACAAGGTACTAGAGAGAGAAGATAGCCTAGAAGGGCTTTAGGTAAGTACTTAGGTAAAGGATTAAGCGTACGACAAGATAATCTAAGTACTAGCCTAAGGTAACTAGGTCTTTCTAACTAAACTTAAGGTTAAAGTATTAATTATAGAGTATAGCTTAGACTAAGAAAATTAGCTACTCTTTTAAGACAGGTATTAGGTCCTAGACTCTAAAGAGCTTTATATAAAGCTAATCTAGTATATATACGATTTAGTCTTAATAGGCTATCTAGGTTATAAGGTTATATCTACTCTTATAATACGTTAGTTCTTCTAGCTAAAGATACTAAGAGACATCTACTATTTTATATAGAACTATAACTTATATAGCTATAATAAGGCCTAAAGAGATTAGAAGTAAGGATTTCTAAAACCCTTACTTATACCTAATTAGATATAAAAAGAGATTTTAATTAATTTTATAGTTAACCTACCTAAGAGTTAGGGTTATATAAACCTAATAGTTATTATAGACCGGCTAAGTAAAAGAGTAATTCTTAAGCTAATAGTATAGATTAGAGTAAAAGACGTAGCTAATACGTTTATATAATACTTTTACTAATATTATAGACTACTATACGTAATTATATCTAATAAAGGACTATAGTTTGTAAAGATCGTGTAAGTACAGATCTATATATACTTAAAGATTGTATAAAGGCTATTAACTATATTCTACCTTAAAATAGATAAGTTAATAGAGCGTATAAACTAGATAGTAAAGATATACCTTTATATATTTATAAATTACGCTTAAGACAATTAGGCTAAGCTACTACTAGCTATAGAACTAGTAATTAATAATTAAGACACGACGTCTATAAGAGTAAGCCTCTTCTTTTTAACTTATAAGTACTATATTAGCCTAATCTAGACGTTATACGACTTAATACTATATAGTACTTATAAGAGCCTTGCTTAGTAAGTAAATAATATCGTAAGAAAGCTTAAGAATATAACTAAGTAAGTATAGGCGTTAATAGCTATAGCTTAGTAGGTATAAAAGGACTTAATAAATTAGCGGCACTTATAGGCTATATAATTTAACGTTAGTAATAAGGTCTAGCTTAATCTATAGAACGTCTATATAAGCTATCTATTAAAGAAGCTTAATATAAAGTATACTAAGTTTAAACTACTAAGTACTACCTAGATTCTAGAATAAGGCGTATAAGAACTATAAATAAAAAGACTATAGCGTAAGGTATTTTACTTATAGTAGTAGTGTACAATAGGCTTTTCTAGATAATTGTCTAGGGCTACCGGCCCTAAAGTAAGAAGAAGAGAGTAATAATAATAAGCTAGGTATAGGCGTAGTTATATGTTTTCTTAAGAGAAGGTTAAGGTTATATAATAACCTAATCGTACTATAAGGTCTAGACAGTAAGGGTTTAGCTAGTGTTTCTCTTACTCTTTACTTCTTTTAGTATAATAAAAGGTTATACTCTTACTTAATAATCTATAACTTATAACGTCTATAATAACTATAACTTTATATACTATAAATAATAGTATAAGAAAAAAAACATATATAATAACTTATCTTTATACCTAGCGGCGCGTTATATAATACCTACCTTACTAAGTATTCTGTTCTTCTTTTTCTTACTACTCTTGTTTTTCATATAATACTAGTATAGTAGTATTAGTTAGTATAGACGTAAGTTCTTAGGTAAAGGCTTAGTACCTTACTTACTTAACTAGGTACTATACTTAGCTACCTTAGCCTTATTATATAGTACGCTTTCTTATAATCCTCTTAATATAGTATTCTTCTTTTCTTCTTATAATTATAGGCCTAGGCTAATCGTTAGTTACCTCTTATAATAAGAATAGATTATATAATACTAGGCGTAAGAGGTTAGAAAAGAACACGTTATAGATCCTTAGTAAGGTGTTAAGCCGGTAGCTATATAAACCTATAACCTCTATTACTAAGGAAAGACCCTCTAGTCGTTTCTATAATATAAAGAATAGCTACTAAGGACAAGTACGTCTATACGCTATATAAGTATTATATTTGTATAAGATAGATAATACGTCTATACTTATACTAAAGTAATATAGCTAAGGCAAAAAGGCACGTTACGCCCTAAAAGGGCTAAGGCTTAACGCTACTTATCTATATAAATAAGTTACGTAAAGACGTAAGGAAAGATAATATATAAGATTAAGTACAGCTAGGTAGTAAGGACGTTTAACTATACGATAGTATTGTTAACTATATAGACAAGGCTATATATGTATTAGTAAGGGCTAGCTAAAAGTAAGGTAGCGTCGTACGCGTTCTATAGGTTTAAAGTAGCTATTTTTACTATATATATAAAAAAAAAAAAGGCTTAGTAATAGGCTAGTGCCTATATTAGCGCCGTACGAGTTTGTACTAAGAGAGAGTTTAACTTACTAATTGTTAGAGGTAGCTACTTTAGGACGCTTAGTAGTAGGCTAGTAGCTAAGTTAGTACTATACAAGCTTAGAAGAGAGCTTGACTTACTAATCGTTAAGAGGCAGCTACTTTAAGGCTTAATTAATAGATTATAGTACGATCGTATAGCGTAAGAGAGAGTAGCGGCAAGAGTAGTAGATTAGGTTGTTAAGGTTAGGTATAAGGAGAAAGGGGAATTAATTTATAGTAGTATAGGGATTGTCTAGATTACTCGCTAAAGAGAGCTAATTAGGGCCCTTGTATAAAGCGCGGGTTATAGGATTAGGCGTTAGTACAGGAAGGGAAGAGAGAGGGAGGGGGGGTAATGTTACAGGTTAGAACCCGGTAAGGGGTTAGTGCTAAGCACGTGACTAACCGGACTATTATTACCCTGCCCTAACAGTAGAGTTTTCTCTTACCTCTTACCTTATACAAACCCTTTCCTTTCTTTCCTCTTTAGAGTATTCTCCTTATAGAATAAATCGACTTTACTTAAGCATTGTGTCGTTAACCCCCTAACACTAAGAGCCTTAGCTACTAACAACAATTTACTCTCTTATTCTTTATATTATAGAGTTTAGGCCTAATAGGTTTATAGCGTCTTTTCTTTTACCTAAAAGCTTCTAAGAACAAAAGCTAAAAAAGAAGGATATTATATTAAGAGCCTTATTTAAAAGGATTATATAAGGCTTAGAAATTATACGTAAAGGCTTAGAAATTAAAAGTAAGGTAACTATATCGTACTATTAAGGGAACGTAAAGGATTTATAGGGCATAAGAAGAAAGAATAGACTAGGGAAATTAAGGGGATTTAGAGATAAGTTTGTAATCTATACGGCTACCTACCTTTGTCTTTAAATATACTATATATCTGCCTTTAACTCTTTTACTCTATAGATACACACCTAACACTATATTAAGTACTCTAACACGTAAGATTATAATAGCTTAGAAATTAAGTATAAGGTAACTACGTGCTTTAACTAAGGTAATAGTAGCGTTAAGGAGTATAAGAATTAGGAAAAGAGGGGAAAAAGAAGAGGGGATTTAGAGATTAGTCTATAGTTAAAGTAGTGATATACCTTTAAATATACTACGACTGTCTATCGACTCTTGCCTCTTCTACTCTATAGAAATACACCTGACAATTACTATAGAATAAGAGAGCTACTAAGAGGGCAAAAGGTAATAATAAAGTAAAGGGACGCTTATAAAACTGTCTTAGGACAGTCTTAGGACAGTTTTCTAAAAAAGGACGGTTATAGGACAGTTCCTTTAGAAAAGAACAGTTACAAGATAGTCTTGTTAGAAGGGATAGTCATAAGACAGTCTACTTAAAAAGGATGGTCCTAAAAAAAGGACGGTCCTTTCTTTAGGACCGTCCCTTTCTTAAGGACAGTCCTCTCTATATGACCGTCCTTATATTTATTAATAGTCCTTTCTCTAGGACTGTCTTAGGACGGTCTAATATACTAGGACGGTCTCTATTTAAGATGACCGTTATATGACGATCAATTTATAATGTGACTGTCCTAGGACAGTTATAATTCTAAGGACGGTCCCTAGACCGTCAGAAAGCCTTATAGGCCGCCTTTAAGGTATACCTACAGATAAAAGGTCTATTTACATATAGACAAGATCTCTAATAGGACTGTCAATTCGATATTGACTGTTATAATTAAGTCCGGTCAATTCTGTTTTGAGCATACTATTAAGGTATTATACTAGTCTAGGATAGATCAATTGATAGTGCTCTGAGAAGCTTAGAAAGTAGGGATAGTCACACATTTGGCTGGTCAATTGACCGTCCGAGGACTGTCATAATGGCCCTGCGCCCCCGTAGTATATGTCAAGTAGTAAAGAAACTAATCGTTTAAACTTACCGACTAGTACTGTACATAATAAACGATAGCTCCCCTTGTCCATTACATGGTGCGCAATCAACCACCCAGTAGTGAAAAAGCTCTTCTAATAGGTACCGCCGGCTCTGTATACAGCCCCAGGTACAGTACAGAGTAGCTCATACTAGCAGAATGTTTCTCTACAAAGCGCTTTGTAGTCGCCCTGCCGTTCTGCCTACGCACCCTAGAACCCTGTCTATCGGTACTTTACTCCGTATGCATGTATATATCAAGTCTACCCACCTTAGTTATCCACCGATTTGCCAAATACGTATGTTTCCCGCATTCGCGGGCCGGGCCGGCAACCATTCACTCAGCCAGCCCACAGCCACTCTATAGACCCCGGCCATGATTTTGTCGATACCCCAGAGAATGCAAAAATACTCGCTACCGACCACATAGAGCTGGCAACCAGGAGGAGTAGGTAGTTTTATGACTTTGGATTCGTAATGAAATAGTATTTATGTAATACAAAATAGTGCAGGCTCAAAGAGATACCGCCAAACAGAAGTGAAATCCTTCCCGACCATCTAAACCCTGGCCGCCTTTCCAAACTCCCGACTCAAAGCAACCGCGTTTAGATGTTGACGTTGGTGCATTGGAGGTTGACAAGGCCCTGGAAGCAAATGTGAGTAGGAGGACAAGGAGCAGACAGGGGATGCTTACGTTCTCGTCACCAGTGCAGCAAGCAGCCTGGTTACCAGCGCAAGCCTGGCTGATGGGAATGTCGATAGCCACTGAAAAGGATTAGCAATGTGAAGGTAGGAATCCAAGGACCGAGGCGACTCACAAACTGGGATGTTGAGAGGGGAGCAGCTTCCACCCAAGATGCCGTCGAGGCCAAGACCCAAAAGACCACCGGATCCGTTGTTGCTGTTGTTGTCGGTCTTGTTGCAGCAGGAGATGACTTGACCGTTACCGCAGACGGCGTTGCCAGTAGGGCCGACAGTGGGCTCGCTCTGGGTTGGGTGAGCAACGGCCGCAAGGGCGAAGGTGAAGACAGCGAGGACGGTCTGGGCAATCATTTTGATGGTGTTGTTTGGTTTTGGGATTCGAAGATCGAAAGAGCGACGAGGATAAAGATGGAAAAGAGTGCTGGAAGGAGAGTGTAGATGTGGAAGACTGATGTGTGATGATGAGAGAAGTGAACTGGACGGATTTCCTCTTGCCTTTATACATTCTGGAGGGGAGATGGGAAGCCAGCACTGACTCGCAGTCTCTTGGTCGATCCACAGCGAGATGTTCGAAGCCATCGAGTACTCCACGACCCGCGACTCCGCGAGTCACTGCTGCGTACGCTGCACTTGCTTCTCGCTGTCGCACATTATTATTATTGACAATAGCCTCAGCTCCAACGAAACAAACCCTAGCAGCAGGACGGGCACGTGGGGCGGGCGGTCTGGCTGGCAGAGATGCGCATGACGGCGAGCTCGACGAGCCTTGGAGCCTTGGGCACTGGCCCTGCGCACCCGCCGCTCTGATTCGAGATGATGGACGGCGATCGACAGCGATGGTTGGATTCTGTTGAATCGCTGATATTGAGATGTCCAAGTCAGGGGCTGTCAATGGTGCAGCGCATTACTCGTGCTGGTGCTGCCTCGCGAGCCTGTCCGGATGGGGCTCCGCCTAGCCTGGCGCGCATGAACACCGCTCGATCTCTGTGCCATTGTCCATCTACTACTTGTCTGGCCCTGCGAGACCTACCGAACCACAAGAGGTTGTTATCGACGCGCCAATCAAACATATAGGCCTACCTATTATCGACATTAGTGCCCTTCGTGCAGCGGCCCGCGCCCGCTTATTTCGTCAACACTCGAACAGCTGCCGATGCGGCGAACGCTGCGATGCCAGGCTTCTCCGCGCTTGGCGGCTTTGGGCCTTTGCGGCATTTGGGCCTTTGCGGCTCTTGGGCCTCTGCGGTCTTCTTACCCCACAATCCCGGGAGCCCAGAGTCGGCCGGCGCCCCCAAACCCCTTCAGGGGTCTTTGCCTCCTTGGGCCGATCAACTATGGCCCCCAGCGCAACATCAACAGCCTCCCCTATAGCGGTCCCGACTCCTCACGGGTGGATGGGAGGAGGGCCGGATCCTGCGGTGTGTGAGGCCTTGATGCCACTTGCTTGCTTACACCTTGGCCAGTATTGGTTTGCCTTGGCTCAGCAGTTCTGGAGTTCAAAGAGGGATGGGCAGCGCCAACGGGCTTACTACGAATAAGGACCGACAAATACGGCACTTACATCGTATCGAGGGACCATTTCAGATAATGGCGCAGCGCCATGCCGCCAACGGAAAGCCGCTAGGCCGTTGTCTCAGACAAGCAGACCCGCCACGTCGGAGGCTCGACATATCTTACGGAGAATAGGATGTCAATATCTCGATTCCAGCCTCGCGTTCCATACTCGTGGGTCCCTTTTCCGCGCTCTCCGTTCAGCCCTGACATAAGCCAATGCTCTAGTGGGCCTTGTGATAGGGCTTGTCGAACAAACCCCATTTCCGAGTGGGCCAGCTCTTCATACATAGCAAGGTAACTTATTGAACAGAGGGGCAATACATGACTCAAGAACCAGGCATACCTTACCTACCCTTCCCCTGGATTTCCACCTGACCGTAAACCTACTGTACGTAGGAGAGAATCTATTAATCTTACGGCAACACTGCAGAATGGTAAAGGGGGCAGCCAGAAAGAGACTCATCTCATGCTCCGCGGCATTGTCCCCCAGTCGTGCGAAAGAGATGGACAAAAGGGGGCGAGGTTGTTTCCAAATACCTACTGTATGCCAAGATTGGGCGTATTGTACACCGCCTCATGGTTAAGAAAGAAGGCCTGCTACTGGAAAGAAACTCGAAACCACACACAACTTCGGCGACTCTAGAACTATCTCCACGTATCATTTTCAAGATGGAATCTCCATCCGTTGTTTGTTGGCCAGGTGAAAAGGTCGTTCGCTCGACTTGTTCTTTGAGTTCCGTTCAAGAAAGATGGACAGCAGCAAGCACCAGAGTGGCTGCTCGAGGTGGTCGTATATGCCTGACCATGAAAGTTAGTATCTTGCCAGCTTGGGACAGTAATCACATCCGCTGCTTCTCCATGTACCACCGGGAGAGAAAGCTAACTTCGTCATCTGCAGATCATTTCGTATGACCATTTGTTTCTGAAGATTGAGGAGGCAAGTATTTAGCATCTTGAAATAGTATTAGATCACTGATATTACAGTAGAAATCGAAACATGGACGCACTGTGTCGCTTTGGGTACTCGTTCCCAGCGCCCAGCGGATCCCTTCGATACACTCTTTTTGCTTACTCGAACCAGTCCGGAGATACTCACAATAGGAGACTGCAATATTCAGAAATCTCGCAAGATTCCATGTGCTTTTCCAAGTCAGACTCCTTTGAGGTGGTTGATGTTGACTAGCGCGGCCCTTTGTCAACACAAATCTCGGTCTTTGAAGACATCTGCTCTACAGCCTGGAATGCTCGGAGGAATATTTCACAAGATCCGGTCGCGAGCACATTCGGTTTCCTCTATATTGTGCATCCTCTCTCAATCTAAGCTCTCTTCCAGTAAGGGTATGTCCAAGCAAGAATCCGAATTACGTTACATCATCATTCCGCGGCATATTTCGTTGCAAACAGTGGCTTGGCATCATACACCATGGAACTTGCAGAGATATGTTGAGGATATAAGAGACTGACGTTCAACTCCAGGTAGCATTTCATTCATAGAATAAGCCATCTACAACAGCTTTGGGCTCTGGAGTCCACTTTGTTCGCTTTAAGTTACAATATACCTTCCTGGTGGATGATTGACTCAGCAGAAAGATTAATTTACACGAAGGATACTCGGTGTAGGTACCTCCATTGCCCTCTATATCTGTATCCATGTATTAAACCGCGGAGGCGGGCAATACAACACAGTAACTACGTATGTCCTTTCAATTTGCGAGGTATTCTGGAGAGCCTTCGGGAACAGAGGCGAAGAACATGTGAGTGGTTCCTATCAGATGGTGCAGAATAGAAGTCTCTGAGTCTAAATAGCCATAGGTTGGATCCCATCAAGCTTCTTTCCTCGCGCCACCTGGACTCAAGCCACGCCGCTGGCAAGCAGAAACACATGCCCAATCTTGATATGAGATAACTTTGGAATATGCCTCTAGAACCGAGCTGGGACAGAAAATCCGGATCAACAGGAAGCTAGCTCAGCACCGGTAATCGGGAGGTTTTCATGCTGTAGGGAGCCGCAGCCGTCGACGGATCACTTACTTCCAGGCCTGCAACTATATGACTACCTAACTTCCATCCATCTCAGTTTTGTTGGTCACCGTCTGCAGCGTCGGTTGATAGCCCGCTTCCCTCCGAAACGGTTCGTGTCATTGATTTATAACGCACGGGGAGCACAGACACTCTGTCTCTCCACACGATTGAAGTACGTTGGATCAAGGAAACTGGGATTTATCACAGGTTGACCAGCCACCTACTTGCGGCAGCAGAGGAGCCGTATATCATCGACATGTTGTTCTATCCAATTATAGCCAGCGGCACAACCATAACCGGTGGAGCATTGGTCAGGGTACCTTGCCTAAGGTATGCCGTGTATTTTTTGGCCGGCTCTAAGACGATGTCCTCGTCGGCTCGTCCCTTTGATCCGGATACAGTACGGAGCATGCGCCCGGAAATGGCATGGGGTCACGTGCCGCAACGACAGCGAGTCTGCGATGATACGGCCCGCAATTAACCAGATAACGGGTGGCACTTTGTGTGGTATCGAGTCCCGAGTAGATGCTATCTATCCTCATCTGGGTACGATAGGTAGGTATGGCTGGTTTGTCCCTACAGAGTACAGACTGCACTACAGCGGGACGGGACGGTGCCTTTTTTTTTTTCTTTTCTCCTTTTTTTCCTTTTTTGCTTCTTTTTTTCTTCTTTTTTTTCTTTTTTCCTTCTTTTTTCCTTCTTTTTCTTCTTTTTCCCTGACGGAGTATTCTTTCGCCTTCTGGATCTTTCCTCTGCTCGGCCTAGCGGTGCACAACGCGCATAACGTCTGCACAGCATAAGGTAGCATCCCCCGGACAAGCCAATGAGCGCCCAGGGTTTTCTGTTCGCGCAACCTCTGATCGCATGGCGATCGCATTAAGCTGATTCGTCCATCTCTGCAGAATTTTCTTTCCTTGCTCCTTGCGGACGACGGCTTTTTGCTCCCTTTGCTTTTCGCTGAAGTTTTGACAGGTGTCCACGCCGCGCGCTCAAGCCTGCTCTGCTCTGCTTTGATGATGATTAGCTCGACGACCCTGGCCAGGACCGATAGGCCACAGGACAGCCAGCCCGGGGTGCATGTCTCCTTCAGATGTCTAGATAGCAGATAGCTGTACCCCGTAAGAGATCGGCGGGGCCATTCTTATCGGCCTGGTATCACTTACGTCTTACGTACTACTCCGTAACGTGCTACGCGCTGGGACTTGGCGCAAAACGCAAATTCTGCTCCCTAACCCTACCTTGCTGTGCTCCGTACAATCTCGCTCTCGCAAAGCATTGCCTGCCCTTGCCTACCTCTTGTTAGTTTGGTATTATTATTACTATTGCCTCCTTGGGTATTCGTTTACTTTGCCTGCTTTTGCCTACTTTATCCTCTTGTGCCTTCTCCACCTGTTTTTCTTTCTCCTCCTCGTCTCTCTCTGCCTCCTCTTGGGTCCACCCACATATAAATACTGTATAATACAAGGCACCTTCACCTGCTGCTACTACTGCTGCTGCTGCTGCTACTACTACTACTAGCCGACAACATCAATAATCATGGCAGACATTCGCAGTGACAATGACAATGGTATTGCCCAGACCCAGACCCAGACCCAGACCCAGAGCGACACCCCCCGTCAGGAGAAGAGTGCCCAAGTCGAGTCCAATGGCCCAGATGGCCAGAGGACGATTGTCGATGTGGACCAGATGAATGAGGCAGATGCCCGTCTCGCCGCCCAGTTTGGCTACCAGCCGGTTTTCAAGAGGGAGTTTGGATATCTCTCCACCTTCTCTTTCGCTGTCAGCATCAGTGGCTTGTTTGCTACGATCATGACGACCTTCTCGTATCCGCTCACTGCCGGAGGATCTGCTGCTGCCATCTGGTGCTGGCTGATTTCAGGTTTGGGATGCATGTGTATTGCTGTGAGTGATTCTCCTCCTTTGTATATACGCTCGGAAAGGGCACGGGAAGGATTTCTTGTTGATGCCGTTCACAGTGCTCCGTTGCCGAATTGGTCTCGGCATATCCAACGTCGGGAGGCTTGTATGACAAACCCGTCCCTATTTCTGTTACTCGAACATCGTGGCTAATTTCCACCATCGTCAGGTACTTCACGATCTCGCGACTTGTGCCTAAGGAATGGGTCCCGGGGGTCAGCTGGTGAGTAGCGGACTCAACACCCCCGCTCCTTCCTCTGCCTCCCAGTTTAGTAGTAGGCTTTAATACTAATAATATTCCCTCCCCGTAGGGTTACTGGGTGGGTCAATCTTTTGGGCCAGGTTTGCCCCCTCCTTCCCTTGCACCAACCTTTCCCTAATGTTGCTCCCCTAGATTGCCGGTATTGCCTCGTCGGAGTATGGGGCGGCTCAGATGCTCCTCGCTGCTGTTGCTATCGGGAAAGATTTTGACTATGAGATTACTGCGAATAAAACGGTCGGTGTTATGGCCGCTCTCACGGTGCTGACTGGTCTTGTGAACTCTCTGTCGACTTACTGGATGGAGAAAATGACTAAATCATACGTTATCTTCCACGTCCTTGTGCTGCTGTCATGCTCAATTGCACTCCTAGCCAAGACGAAGGACAAGCATGATGCAACTTATGTGTTCACTAATGTTGAATCGACCTCGGGCTGGTCACCAGTTGGGTTCAGCTTTCTGTTTGGGTTTTTGTCCGTCTCGTGGACCATGACAGACTACGATGCCACCGCACATATTACAGAAGAGTGAGTGCTTCTCGACCGATTTTGTAGAGCCCCATTCTGATGTCCTACTCAAGAATATCCGATCCGGAGATCAAAGCCCCATGGGCCATTTCAAGCGCCATGCTGTTCACCTATGTGGCTGGTTTCCTCTTCAACATCGTGCTCTGTTTTTGCATGGTACTTTCCCTCCTATCAATATTTGAAGACTTATACCGACTTTTACACAGGGTGAACCCTCCGATATCCTTGGAAGTCCGGTTGCGCAACCCGTCGCTCAAATCTTTTACAATAGTCTCGGAAAGGCTGGAGGCATCTGCTTCACAGTCTTCGGACTCATCATCATCATGTTTGTGTGCTTTACGGCTATGGTAGGTTATTATGTCCAATGTAGACATGCTTTCCAGAGCACGAATGACTAATAGGCTTTCCTAGCAATCAATGGGTCGGACGGTTTTTGCCTTCTCTCGAGATAAGTTGTTGCCCTTTTCCTCTGTCTGGACACGAATCAACTCGAAGACCGGAACTCCTCTATACGCGACATGGATATCCGTCTTCTTTTGCATTGCTATCAACTTGATTGGGCTTGGGTCCTATGCTGCTATTGCCGGTGTCTTCAATGTCTGGTGAGTGCATCGTCCGATAACAGTCGAGATGCATCCTTTACTAAGGGGCCCCTTCTAGTGCCATCGCCCTCGACTGGAGTTACTGCATACCTATCTTGTAAGCACATTTCCGGACCTTCCAGATTCTTTACTGACCGGAGCCCAGCTGTAAACTCGCCTTCGGCAAATTCGTTCCTGGCCCATGGCATATGGGACGAGCTAGTAAATTTGTCAATGCCTGGGCCTGCCTCTGGACATTATTCGCCAGCATCATCTTTATCCTACCGACCATCAGGCCAGTAACTGGCGACAACGTGAGTACCGTATCGGATGGCAGTTAATGACTTCGCTAACAATTTCAGATGAACTATGCATCAGCCTTCTTGGCATTAATCTTAGGCGCTGCCGCAGTTTTCTGGTATATCAGTGGCCGAAAATACTACACGGGACCGATCACAGAGGCCCAAGAAGATTATACTTCCGAGTCGCATATGATTTCCAGTGCTATAGAACGCAAGTCAGAGAAGGAAATGGTCTGAGCAAGAGGATGTGCGTAGTGCACCAACCTGTGGTGAATGCAGTAAATGCAAGCCTGAGGGCAGTGCTAATCGTGCACTGTATTTAGTATGTGCTCTCAAGTCCCGGGTATACATCAGAGCTGCGTTAGAGCAGTTGCTATCTTGATACTCCTTTTTTGTACCCGCGATAGTCAGATTACTATGAATATGATACCCATAGAACACGATATTGTTGCCGATATTCTCCCTCGTATGTTCTCTTCCCATCTTAAATTACTGTAGAGCTGTAGAGCGCACCGTTCAACCGCCCCGGCTTTGTGCTCGATGATCCGCGGCGCGATGAGGGTTTTGGGGGGGGGGGGGGGGCGTGTTCCGTGTTCCATTGAGCTCGACTCGTCACCGCGGCTTGTTCTTAATAACAATCTTACGTGCAGACCTTTCTCATCCTTCTTTTACTTAGCATAATGACATGAATTAATCTCAATAAGGAGACGAGAATCCGTTGCTTAGGTCTCAGCAACATAAAAGTTCATTTTGAGAGGGCAGGCGATTCCCACGCAGGAGGTAGACTGTGACAAGAGTTGCGAGACCAAGGTCTCTCTCTCTCCCTCAGCTTGGTGAAGCCAGGCGGTTTAGCAGTCCCGCCACTCTCTAGATTCAAGCTAATCCGATGTCGAGTCCACGCATAGGACCCAGAGGCAGTGTTTGAAAACTCCCTGGCTTGCCGAGACCCTCGACGGGAGTAGAAGGTCGGATACAGGAGCCCTCCAGTGCTTCCAGGGTCTGGGTCAAGTCAGGCTGTTGGGGAAGAAGAGCGGTCGAGAATTTGACATGTACATGTAGTATATACAATAGGGGACGTTGGGGTCTTGATGAGGCCTGGCTTAAAATAATGCACTTCAACCGGTCCTGTTGACACCAGACACAGGCGTTGTTACTGCACATGTCTCTAGCGATATCTCCACCTAGATATTATTGGTGTTTGGGAAGGTGGGCATAATTTGATTCCATCTAATAGATCAATTGTTGAAGCACATACATACGTCCGAAGAATTTTGCAATAGGAAGTCATGTTTTCTTCTATGGAGTACACATAGAAGATAGGCTGATCGTCAATCGCGACCTTACCATGATCAATAGTGTACACTCAGTGTCGCCTAGAAATAAGAAGATGGGGCCTTGTTTCTGAAAAGGGCAAGCAAAGAAAACAAACAACGAAAGCAGTCAGAGAGAATCGTGTATGGCATCACAATCGTTCATACTATAATATCCGATAGCCGATTTTGGACGCCCAATGTAGGAAGCCCATTCGGCGTCATTACAGGAGAACGTATCATCTGCCTTTAGAAGGCAATCTATCAATATAAGTTGGAGAGAAAGCAGAGGTTTCCAGACAGGAGAAGTTACCAGTAACGGCCACGGCGATCATAATCAGCATAACCGGGGTCCCTTGGGGGATAGTCTCTTGGAGGAGGGCGGTCATAAGGAGGTCTGCCATGACCATTGACATACGGATCAGCAGGAGGATAGTCGCGGCGGTAAGGGTCATCAAAGCCACCCCGACGAGGAGGTGGATAATCATCAATCGGAGGGCGAGCGCGTGGGGGAGAACGACCATAGCGACCGCGGTCATCGTCATAATAGGGGCCCCGTCGGGGCGGACTCCTATCACGGTATCCGCGAGGGCTGTATCCGCGAGGTGCACGACGATCATAGTCATCAGGCGGATAGGGTCGACGAACAGGAGAACGGGATCGACCTCGGTCGCGAGGGATATCCGGTTGAGTCTATATCGGTGTCAGTAGCAGTAAAATGCATTGGACGAGCTCGATACATACATCTGCGACGCAGGTGACACGAACACCCTTGAACTCACGGCCGTCAAGCTTTTCCACTGCAGTCTTCAAGTCGGCCGCAGTCTCAAACTCAACAAAGCTTCTAGACCTGTCAGCACCTTAAGCAATCCTGGCCAGACGAGATACTGACCCTCTGCCGTCCCGGTCACGGCCGGTCTCAGAATAAACAACGTCGAGGCTGGATTGACGGGCAAAGTCTTTGAGGTCCTATATCCAGAATCCATGTAAGTCGTTATCCAGGTTGTGGAGGAGTAAACGCCAAGGTATTGGTAGTTGCCCCCAAATAGTAGCCCGTACAACAAGTCCAGAGAGTGAGATAAACATGGTTCCACGGATGAGTTCCCTTTTGCGCAGAGTGACTGTCCCGATGTACAAGGAATGATAGCAGAAAGAATTCGCGACAGGATAAGAAAGGCCGGATACTGGGATACAGAAGTCCATCAAGTCCTAGTCGCTCAGGCAAATGCACTAGCAGACTGCAATGGAGACTGTGATCCAGAGCAGGGCATGATGCTGGCCAGGACTAAACAGAAGAGTGCCCAAGAACGGATTGGACAACAGTGAAGGGGTCCATATATGTTGCTCAGAGTCCAAATAGCAAGTTCTCAGATCCAAGAGTCCGGGTGAAGGAACGGGGATTACAGACCTGCCAGCTGGTCTCACCTGGAAGTCCAGAGATCTGCATGCGATGGGGAGTACGTCTGGGGCGAGGAGCAGTACGCTCCGCAGCGGCAAATGCATCACGATTGCGGGTGCCACGGGCGAATTGAACAGTGAGACGTTCACCCATGAAATCCGAACCGTGGAAGGCTGTGAGGAAGATAAGTTGCTGTATGCGCGCTGGTGATCACAGCATAACTCACCAGGGACTACATCACGAGCGTCCATAGCGTCCTTGTATTCGATGAACCCAAAGCCATTCATAAGCTTGATCTCGGTGATCTCTCCGGTACCATGAGTGTTGAAGTGAGCCTCGACATCCGCCTTGGTAGCTGTGCCAATGTTAGCTTGAGGACTAGATCTCATACACTCTGCAATAGACCCAGGTTATACTTGCCATTGCGCGGGAGATTGCCCAGGTATAACCTGGTAGAAGATACCTCGGTCATGGTGTATGAGGCTCTGGTGAGGTCGAGGAAGGGTTCAGGTCTGTATGATGCGGGAGGTGAAGAGCCGGAGAGCGCTGCGACCGACCGGTGGGAGGAAGTCTCAGGTGTTAGTTATGATCGCCAGCGCCAGACAAATATGCAGCGGCTGCAGCCCTGCGGGTATTGAAGTGGAGGGAAGGACGACGTTATTGAGCTGGGAAGATGGTGGAGATGGTGGAGAGCTCGAGGCGGAGCAGCGATTCTGCGATTCTGCGGTTCCGAGCGGGAAGTTTCACACCTGATTGCCTGAGGCTGCCAGAACGGCGATCACGGCAATCAGTGTCACGTGATTAACCATATCTCCTCCTCGTTACCTATTACTTTAGGTACCTACCTAGGTACGTAGGTATCTATAAGTTCTTATAGGTCCAGTAAACAATGTATCCATTACTCCTTATATTACTCCTAGCTACGCGAGCTTGAACAAGCTGGCCTTAGCGATATCCAATGTTATCGCGTGCAGAATGACAGTTTCGTTCCTCATAAACTCCGTAAACAGTCATCAATTCCTTATCCGGGCTACCAACCAAACTGTGTTTCTCATCTCATCTCCACATCTTGGGTATCATCTCTTGCCTCGTCGTCACCCCCCAACTCGTGCTCTACCTCGTCTACAACGAAGCCCTCGTAGTCCTCGAGGTTCTTCTGAATGTGGACCTTGAACTTGATGATATCATTAAGCATCTTCTCAATTTCCGTGTGCAATTCTTCCCGGAGAGAATTTGCACGGAGTGTAAGTTGTTCGTATCTGGCAAACATTAGTATCAAGGCATTGGACTATAGAGGTCCTCACTAACTCAATATTTGTGTTCATCTCGCGCTGTTCCATTAGTTGCACAGACTCTGTGAGACCAGCTCGCATCTTGGCTAATTCCTTCTCCATCTTCTCGATCTGGGTATCAGAAGCCAGCTTTTGAGTGGTGGTTACCTGCGTCTTGTCAGTGTTTGTCCTGGGATTTTAGTCTTTCGTGCGATATCTACCTCTTTCGTCTTTTCATATTCAGCTTCGGCAGCTCTAACACGGTGCTCAAGAGCCTCGACCTCCCCACGCTTATCCTCGATAGCTTCCTTGATACCATCCAGCAGATCATGGTGCTTCATCATCTCGTCCATGGCGACAGTCCGTCGCTCTGAGATCTCTTTTCGTAGACCAAGGAAACTGGCCTTGACCTGACCCCGAAGATCCAGGCTCAGGATATGTGCTGGTTGATAGCCAGTAACAGGGTCTGCCAGCAGTCTATCACTGTCCGCGTTGCCGCCCGAGTTAGAGGCACCCATTTGCGACGAGGAGAAATTCGGTCCGTCATTGACAATTACTTGTAACTCGTAATTCTTGCCTCTCGCGTTTGGTGCTGTCGATGGAATGAGGCCTATCTGATATCCTAGGCTGTTGTATTTGTCGACCATATGCTCCAACTCATCCAACTTGCGACTGGCCTCTACCTCCTTCTCAGCAACCTTCTTTTTCACCTCATCCAGCCTCTGAGAAGTCGACTCGATCCCTTTTTGGAGACGTTCTCTTTCCGAAGTCATTCGATCGATATCTGCCATGCTGATCCCTTGCTCATCGACGGCCCTTTGCAAATTCGATCGCTCATCATCCGCCTCCTTTAACTCTAGCATGACCTTGTCGAGCTCCTCCTGCAAGAATTGGATGCGGGCCTCGTACTTCTCTGACTTCTGGACCATACGATTATCGAATTCCTCGAACTTGACTTTGTCTTCTTCCATGATCTTGAAATGCCGGTCGAGAGTAGCGACATCCGCTCCTGATTTCTCAAGGTTCTCGATCTCCTTTTGAAGGCGTTGATGCTCAGCCTCGAGGATTTGCATCTCGTCCAAATACTTGGAATTGGACCTATCAAATTCTCTTGCCATAGCTTCGACGTGAGGAGCGAGAACTCGATCCTGATCATCATCCCCAGCGTCTTCGTCCATGGATAACCAGTCTCGATATGCGCTGCTGAGAAAGTCAAAAATGATTCTGTCACCACTAACATCTACGCCAGTTTCAGCGCACGCATCATCGTATTGACCTGCTCCATAGGCGTCTAACATCTGAGACAGTTGCATCATCCAATGCAATAGACCAAGAAAAAGGTGCCATGAATTCTGTGATCCAACGGCGGAGAGCGAGCTCTTGGTAATGCTTTTGTGGTATGGATACCGAAGCTGGGCCAGAATTGGTGGGACTTCCTGGTCAATATTTTTCTGAAACCGATAGCTTGGATCGATTCGATGATAGAGCCACTGGAATATCATGTTGAAGTCCTTTTGAGTTGGCGACTTGATTATATCCTGCTTGAGACTATATTTCATTTCCATCTCAAAGTTATTAGCTGCAAGGTAATCCAACAGCTCCTGTCCAATTCTTGTTTGGTATGTACGGTCTTTCAATGGTCGTGGATCTCTGGGGACACCAGCCGGCTGTGGAGCCTGCTGGAAAAAGCTCTGGTGGCCCATAGGGCCCGTTGTTGAGGTCCGCGATCTGTACACACTGCTTCTTCGCTCCGACCCTTCTCCTGAAGGGCGCCCCATCCCACCCGGCGCATAGCTCTTGCGTCCACTGTTATTCTGGAACGAGGTGCGCTTGACAGATGACATGCCCGCTTCTGCCAGATTTGTTCCTGAGGAAGATCGTTGGAAAAGAGGTTGGTTCGGGCGAGGTGGGGCTAGGGACGCGCGAGATCCGGAAATGGAGCGCACATGGCTCGCAGTAAAAGGCGCATTGTTCACTCCTGATATAGAGTTGGAGCGCTTCATGGTCGAAGCTGGCTGTGGGATACTCGAATTATAGCTGATGCCTCCGAGAGTCTGTGTAATGTAAGTGTCCGAACTGAATTTGCGACCCCTCGATTGACTGAATGGATGGAATTCTCACCTCTCTCGGCCGTCGCACGGAGAAGAGACCCGTGTCTTGCGACATGCTTGCAGTGTTGTGACGCCAAAAGCGGTCGATCCAATGCGACAACGCGGTCGAGAAAGCACCTGTTCGAAGCCGATGAAGCCGATAGAATTTATGGCAATATGGATTGCGACATAGAATGGCGAAGCTTTTGGGTTCGCAATGGGAATATGCTGCCAAGGTCAAGGTGTGGACGTGATCTGCTGTTATACGTCTTGGGATAAGAAGATAAATAACAAAGGCGATGTTCATGCTTCAATTTCATAGGCGGGAGAGACAGAAGGTAAACAATCGAATCTAGCTTAGCGTCGTTGCTCCCATCTCTAGCCAGTGTCACGTGCAGCAGACGCACCACAAGCCTCGGCATGGGCTTGGGAGACCCGCGCGGGATGTGATTCGATTTGACCTTCCCCAGATCTTGCCTGACGGGCTATCAACATCGACATCAGGGACTTCAACCGCAGCCCCATTTCAACCATGGCGATTCGTGAAGATCTTGTTGCGTCCGCAGTAGGTCATTTTCAGTTGCTCAAAAAGATAGACTGCTAACGACTTCAGGTTACTTGTGAGGGAGCACCAAGCCTGCTATCTTCCAGTACTGATTTGACTTCACAGTTCTGCAAGATCCAAGTGTTACCGGGTCCCCGATAGAGAATCGGATAGCGTTTCTTCGATCTAAGAATCTAACACAGGAGGAGATCGATGCGGCGTTGGCAAGGGCTGGTGGAGAGCAGGCACCGAATTATTCGAACTATGCGCCGCAACAGCAAGTAGGGGGTCAACCTCAGCCTGGCTATGGTGGGTATCAACAGTACCAATGGCGGCAGCCGCCACCACCACCCGAAGTGCCTAAAAGAGATTGGAGAGACTGGTTCATAATGGCGACGGTAATGGGAGGGGTTAGCTATGGACTTTATTTCATGGCGAAGGTATGCTATCTCCTATTGTCGATGGTAATAACAGATTTGCTAAGATTATCTGGAGCGATATGTCTATCCCATGATTGCTCCGCCAACAACGCCGCAACTAGAGCAGGATAAGCAGGCTATTGATGAGTCGTTTGAGAAGGCCTTCTCTCTTCTCGACCAACTGGCGAAGGATACAGAGACTCTCAAAGCATCCGAACAATCCCGAACAGAAAGATTGGACACGGCTCTGACCGAGGTTGAGAGTGTTATAGGCGAATTGAAGACAGCCAGCCGACGCCGAGAGGAAGAGTCCCGACGTATCGCTGACGAAGTACGTGGACTTAAAGATTTGATACCCAAAGCCATGGAAGGCCAGAAGGAAAATTCGGATGCCCGGCTCAAGGAGTTAAACAACGAGTTGAAGAGTCTGAAGACGTTGATGAGCCAGAGAATGAATTCCCCAACAGCTTCGAACTCTAGCCCATACGGTCGAACCGCAGGCGCTGGGGCCCCTACGCCTACACCCCCAAGTGCTAGCAGTGTCAATGGTGCCTCGTCTGGCGAAGCAGTCACACCAAAGCCAGCTTCGGTCAACAACACAGTGGGAACTGAATCTGTTGCCTCGCTTCAAGGTCGAAGCGCAAGTCCATTCAACACTGGCGCACCATCTGGAAGAGCTGCAATTCCGGCATGGCAGATGGCCGCAGCCAACAAGAGTTCTAGTTCAGTCAACACGACTGGCACTGGAAGTAATTCGCAGGAGAATGCTAGTGGGGCTTAGGACCATGATGAGCCATGGAAAAGAGAGATCTCATCATCTTTGCATATCAGGCGTGTGAAGGTGTTCCGTATCTTGGGAAAAAGGGGGTTACTGAGGCGTGTTCCTGGCAGGGCCTTTATGCAGCCTGTTGAAGTCAAGGAAGGCCATTTCCAATCCTTATGAGGCCATCCCGGCTCACACGTTGTGCTGTGTGTCTGCGTTGTATTATATATAATATATACCACCGTACAGGCCCGCCATTCCTGTGGCATAAATCGCAAAATGAAATCAGTGCATACCACAGTCCATAGGCTTTCTAGGCATGGTGACAATCGACCAAGGATACAGATATAGTAATTTCACATTCATTCCTCGGTCTCTGCGATTGGCGCATGTCATGAGTTTGTTTGGTCGGGTGGCAAAACCAGGGCCCCAGTGCCGAGGCTCATTTAAACGTTCCTGTCTGGACTGTTGCTGTTGAGCATGACAGACTACAGGACGGGATGGGCCATACGCACGACGCCAATGGATAGAGTCCTTCGTCCATATTTCCACTTTCACTTGAGACCACCAGAGGGTAGACAGAACTGAAAATCCCATTTGTCAAGCCTCTCAATCCTTGTCCTGCCATTCATTACCCGCTCGTCATAATAGCGATGGATACCTCTTCGCCAATTCCTGTTCTGAAGGCAATGCTTCCCAAAGTGCCTCTTATAGGAAAGACCACGCTCTACCATACCCTTGGACTGTCAGAGAACTCAAAGCAATGGGATCTACGGACTGCCCTCACGGTCAGCGTGCTTCGATCATTCATTGTCGATTCGCCACCAAGGCCGATATCTAGAGTCCAACGCATGTCCTTGCGAGACGCCGGGATCAAAGGGAGGATCTGGGTTAGCAAAGTTACGATCCCGCAGCCCGCTGAAGATGATATTCGGCAAGGGCTCTTCGCGGCGATCGAGGGGTTGAAAGAGCCAGGAGACACAGCAGGCGGGTACCAAGAGCCCCAGCTGCTTCCGGTCGAAGCAGAATGGACGGGATACCGAGCTGGTGTAGCGAACGATGCGCCCGAACTGAAGATATCAGAAGAACAGAAATACAAGGAATTGATGACTGAGGTATCATCCCCCACTACGATACTTTACTTCCACGGCGGGGCATACTATCTCATGGACCCCGCAAGCCACCGACCAACAACCAGAAAGCTTGCCAAGCTCACGAAAGGAAGATGTCTCAGTGTCAGATATCGCTTAGCCCCTCAGAACCCTTTCCCAGCCGCTCTCTTGGACGCTCTGGTATCCTACCTCGCTCTCCTCTACCCGCCCACGGGCTCATTCCACGAGGCTGTCGAGCCGCGCCATATAGTATTGAGCGGGGATAGCGCCGGGGGAAATCTCTGCCTGGTTCTGCTCCAGACGATTCTCGAGCTCCGGCGTCAGGGTCGCAAGATCTTTTGGAATGGAGAGGAGCGCGAGGTTCCCATCCCGGCAGGTGTTGCGCTATGCAGCCCATGGGCAGACATCACGCACTCATCACCGTCCTGCGAGACGAATTCGATTTACGACTACCTCCCCCCGCAAAGTAAGCAGATAGAGAAGATGGCGCATCCCCGGTGTTCCATCTGGCCTGCTAATCCTCCTCGGAACAACTTGTACGCCGAGGACGCTGTGTTGTGCCATCCACTGGTGTCTCCTCTGGGCGCGAAGAGCTGGGAAGGCAGCTGCCCGATGTATATCGCGACGGGGACAGAGCTACTCACGGATGAAGGTAAGTATGTTGCCATGAGAGCGGCGGGCCAGGGGGTGCCGGTTGTGTTTGAGGAGTACGAGGCGATGCCACATTGTTTTGCAATGTTCTTGAACGCCCTGCCTGGCGCGAGAAGAGCTTTCACTGGCTGGGCAGGTTTCATCCAGGAGGTGGTAGAAAATCCTGAAGAAGTGAGGACGAGAGGAACCTTGATCAAGGCGAAGACATTGGAAGAAGTGCCTCTGGAGGTGACAAGCTTGACCTCTTTTACGCATGAGGAAGTGTGCTCAAGGATGAGGGAGAGGGCGCAAAAATTATGTCAGGCGAACCCTGATACGCTGTCGAAGCTGTAATTGTGTCGAGTCTATTATGTGCAGTACAGGCGTTTATAGATGGCCTTGATAGATGCCTTCCATGGCAGAAGTGGGTGTGGCTAAGCGACCAAGGTTTGCTTTTGAGATTTTAGTAGTAGAGGACTCGTTGCTTACCGTACACTAATAAGATACTCACGCATTGTCGTGACTGGAGAGGCCCTTGTGTATCGAATTCAGATATCTCATTATTTTGAGAAGATTATCATCTGATTAGAGTGCTTTTAGATGGCGCGTATACTGACTTCTCAATATTAAGACGGTTCTTTCTCTCTATGCTACGTTCAAAAACGGCTGTAATGCCCATGCATAATGAACCTATTATTAAACACCATCCCAAAACTTGTAAGATGTAAACTGATGGCCTATGAAAGAACTTGCAAAACCCTGGAGGATAGGTATGTGGCTTTCACACTCCCCATACATTTACGCCTTGACGCTATATTTACGGCGGAACATGTCATCGACACTCTCGAGATAATAAGTACCTTTGGCAATGGTCTCGGCACTGCCAGCAGGTGTGTAGCTCTTTTGCAAGTGAGCTTTCTTGCGCAACTCGCACATCTAGACATCGTCAGCTACCATCGCAAGATCCTAGGGATAGCATCATTTCAACTCACCTGGTCATATATTTCTGGGGCCACCGTTCGGCGGGCCGCAAGTCTCTCCTTCAGGTTCAATGTCTTCTGGATGACATCGGTGGGGCCAGTGACCCTCAATGAGAACAGACTAGAAGCCAGACCACTGCCGTAGCTGAACACCCCTATTCTCTTCCCTTGTAAGGTGGCGCTGTCGACATTGCTCAGTAGGCTGACCAGTCCTCCGTATACACTTGCGCAATACATGTTTCCGCACATTGTAGGGACTTCGATACTGGGCTGCACACGCTCGTTGAAACGCTTCTTTGTCAATGCCATAAAAGTTTTCTCGACCACTTTGTCAGTAAGCGACTGGACACGATCCATGTCGCGCAGTTCAGGAGGCACATCGGCAAAGATCGGGGCAGAAGGATCGGCCAGGTAGTCATTGTAGAGCATTCGTGCATATGATTTCGACACGAGCTTACAGGTAGGGGCGTGGAAGGCCATGTAGTCAAATCGGTCGAGAGGGGTCTTAGACGCTGCCGACTCGTCCGAATGGGCACTATCGCCGTTGCTATGCCCGTTGAGAGCAGACTTCAGTACAGCCTCTCGCTTGTTGTATGCTTTGTAGCATGCATCCACGGCTTCGGTGTAGCATCTGATGGAAAATTGACCATCAACAATTGGGTATTCGCTAGTGAGGTCTGGCTTGTAGAAGTCGTATGCGTGCTGCATGTAGGTCCCTCGCAGACCAGGCTCCACAGCAATTGGAGCATTAGGTCCAATCAACATGGCAACTGCACCAGCTCCACCAGTTGGTCTCGCATTGCCCTTGGCGTAGAGAGCGATATCACCTGCCACGACGATTGCATCTCTTCCGTCCCAACCAGACGATTCGATCCAGTTGATCGTGTTGAAAACGGCGTTGGTACCGCCGTAGCAGGCGTTGACCGTGTCCACCCCCTCAATGTTTGTGTTGTCGCCAAATAATTGCATCAGGACCGACTTGACCGACTTGGACTTGTCGAGAATGGTTTCCGTGCCGACTTCCAGGCGGCCAATGGAGTTTGTGTCGATCTGGTACTTGCTGAGGAGGTTGGACAGCGCAGTGAGGGCGAAAGAGTAGATATCTTGAAAATGTGAGGTCAGACCACGGGCTCGCTCTATGGATAGCAGGCTTCCTACCTTCTCGATCGTCGCAGAAGCTCATCTTGGTCTGCCCAAGGCCAATTGTGTATTTGCCCTGGCTGACGCCATCGAACTTCTCCAGCTCGGCTTGGTCAACACACTATACATGGACAATTAGCACGTCTGCGCGGCCACGATGGTTCTCAGAGAGAAGCGCATGTTCGGGGCCGAGCATACCTGACTCGGAAAGTATATCTCAATGGCTTTGATGCCAATGTTCTGGGGCCGGGACGACATGGCGGGGAGGCGGTGAAGCTTTCTGGCGATATTGAGATGGAAGTTTTTGATTTGCGGGCTGGGATTTTGAGAGTGGTTTTTGGCAGGACAGCCAAGGAAGGATAGGCCAAAAGAAGAGTGTGCGAGGAGGAGAATGACAGAGAGAAGGGGAAGGTTTTGCTGTTGCCCTCGTGTCTAAAGTAGATATATGTACTTTTGTTGTTACAGTATTATTTGTTCAAGGGCAGTTCGCAAAGGGGGGGGAATGGTGGTGGAGGGGGGGGGGTTGAGTTGGTGGGGATCTTCGCCAGTAGCAAGGAGAGGAAGAGAGGTGATTGGCCATGGATATTTGAGACTAAGCGAGGTCCGGCCCTAAGCTGCGACAGGCGAGAGCTACCGCGCTACCTGTGCAGGCTTGCCTCAAGGGGACTAGAGCGTGGCTGAACACCCGCGCTAAGGCCAGCAAGGGCTAGACAGAAATCTCTACAGGAGCCATTATTCGAGAATGGGGCGTCTCGAACACTTTCAGAGCACTTCCGATGATAGGAGAGGAGAGGGACATCAAGGGGAAGAATAAGGAGAGGAACGAGAAGAGGAGCAGGAATAGAGCAGAGACAAAGAGGCGCGTACATACAGAGCCAAAGAGGGATGATGGACCCGGGGACTAATGGGAGACAAGCACATATCTTGGGTGGTGCGGTCTACAGTTCTGTCGCATTTGGTATCGTACGAGTCGAGAGGCACTGTACGGAGTAGTACGTGCTGTGCAGGGGGGCTGTCACTCTGTATGGGACCCTCTCTCACAGGGACCGGGTAGATTGATACACGCCTGCCTACGCAATGTACCCATCGGGAGAAGATGCTCGTGTATCTCATTTCTATATTTGTTTGTTGTTGCTATTTCTTCCATTAATCCCAATCTCATTACCATTCATATTATCGTGCGCGGCAATCCACCCTCCCACCTAGTTGTAGTATGCGGGAACAGACCCATGTGGCGGCCAGCGTGATATCGCCGATCGAGGGACAACACCAGACAGGATCCCGAAGACAACACATTCAATTCTCTCAAGGACAAAGGACGGTCTTGTATGGCTTCTACATGCCTCATCCAAGATACCTGCCTATCCATGTAAGGTAAGCAAGCTACCTAGGTAAGGTGTGTAGGTGGATTTGGATACGATACCTACCTATGTACGCCGTGTACATCAATCGCCGTCTGCTCATTATCTATCCACTCGCCCCGTGGGTCTATTGCTGTCGGTACATCTGGGTTTGCTCAGCCACCGCCCTCGTTCGTCTCTCCGACGTCGAACTCGGTGCACTGTGCTGTTGCCCACTGCCAAATCTGCTTTCATTATGTTATCTCGATCCTGAAACACGTCTCACAACCTTGTTTCTATCACATTACACTGGGCGAGACCGACCTCAGGTCAGCTGACCATGTTTTCATACCTATCTCCTTTCCTGTCCTCTGGAGGCATCGTTGGGGTATGGTTGAGAGGCCAGATCAGCTATACGGCAGGAGCAGCGTGCTCAAAAAGGATGTAGCTTTCGAGCCTGCTCGCAAGAGAGAACGTTTATGAGGAATAAGATATGAGATCTGCAAAAAGAAAGAAAGCAAAAGAGGATACATATAATCCTCGACTGAATCAGGTAGAGAGGCAAGGAAAGTGCTAGTTGGCACGGCAGCGGCCAAGAGAAAAATGGGAAGATATGGACGATGTACAAGCAGAAAGCTGTCTTGATAGATCCATTTGGAGGTATCTCATATCTGATCAGGGGTTCATGTGCTGTAGGTCATGGGAGTAGCAGCAGGGCTTTGGAAACCAGCTTCGATCAATCAATCTTCTCTCATGGAGGACACTCATCCGATCCGGGAACCCCACGACAGAACTATACTGTAGATAATAGAAGAATCAAGCAACAAGACCGCGATGAACTTTCTGCGAGGTGCAGAGGGGGTGCGAAGGGAATCATCACTCCGCTACGAGCAAAGCCAGATCGAGGTCCGAAACCCCAAACCCCAAACCCAAGCGCAAGGCACGAAACTCGCTTGACTTGACCAGCGCCAAGGAACCAGGAGACGCTCCCTCACCTCATCGTATTCCAACCCCCCCATCACCACTATCGACGACCGACCCCATCAACATCTCCATTCTACCACTCATCCTCCCTCAATTCCTCTTCGCCGATTCTCAAACCCTCACCACGGATGCATATATTTCTCGTCCTCCCTCCCATTTGATGAGTGGCTTTCAAGTCACATCTCAGCAGGCGGGTCGAGAAGAGTAGAGCCTTCGGACAGGAATCATGGCTGCTCCCGATCGCCATGCGTCGACAGGAAGCGACAGGAGAGCGTCGACGCGACTATCAATACAGCTGAGCAGCGATGAGGATTATGATTTGGACCCAATGGCTATCTCCGACGGATTCAGGCCAGCAGACGTCGCAGCGAACCATGATCGATCACCTCCCAGCACGTCACAACATCACGATCAGCCTCAGGGGAGTCAGGGCAGACGGACACCACCCCCACGGCCTTCGAGTACGACAAAACCGAAATACGATTCGTTCGCCTTGCGGCATGATGGTGCTATGGGGCCAGTCGCACCCAGGAATTTGACGGCAGCGTCCACTTCAAACACGGCACCGACTCGGTCGTCGAGTGTCTCGACAGACATGACATTTGTGAGAGCCGAAAGCCCCTATCAAGGCCCGACAGGGCCTTCGCACCCATATCAAATGTATCCACAGGAGTCGCGACTAGCAAGGACGGCGAGCATGGCAACAACTTCCACTGTCCCAGCACCCGAGAGATCGTACTCCGGACCCAGCGGACCTACACACCCTTATGGGATGTATCCTCAAAATACAGTTCCAGAGGCCGATAGTCCTCATGAGCAAGATCAGATTACGCCCGTTCCTGTTGGGTTTCCGGGATTGAACAATACTTATCATCGTCGACTGGGCCCAGACGGGGAGGAGATTGCAGATATTATTGGGCCAGACGGCCATACCGAGCAACTTCCACCCTACACGCAGTATCCGGACGAAGCTATTGCGAGGAAAACTCGCCCCTCCCTTCAGGTCCCCCTTCCTGGTGCCGGTGGGATCGGTTTGGCTACCCGCAACCCCGAATTTGCGTCGCGGGAAGATCTCAATTCACCTCCATCCCGTCACTCCACACGCAGTCTAATGTCTGAGTCGAGTCATCAAATCAATACCGCTGCTCTTGCTGTCTCAGAGAAGCCCCAGTTGAAGAAATGGCAACAGATTGCACGGAGAAGAGTCTGTGGTATTTTTCCTGTTTGGGCTATTGTCCTCGTTGGATCAGCCTTTATTCTCCTTGCAATCATACTGTCAACCGTCCTTGCCATTTTGCTGTCTCGACACCAACAGAATAAGCATCATGACAGTGATGGAGAGCACCCGTAAGTGCAAAGCGCGCTGTATCAAAATCTGCTAAAGGCCATACTAACTTACCCATCTCAATAGCCCAAGCCAAATCTACACCGCAACCATGACAACAATGACAACTACATGGGATGCATCTCCATTCACAAAGGTTCCTCCAAATATCCAACCTCTTCCGACTGGGACCTACATATTACCCATCTCTACCCCATCTATAGCACCCTCTGGTTGCATTGACAATCCATCACAAAGTGATGCTTGGTCTTGCGCCATACCACCTATGCTTCCTTATCAGATGATCGTTTCCGGAATTTCTAGCTCAAGTTACGTATCGGACAACGAACTTACTCTTGACATGGGCAACTACAGTATCAAATCTTTGGCATACGGCGCCCAGCCTCCAATTTTGACCCAACCTGAGGTTCTTTATCTCGCGACAGATAATTACGATCCCGATCGAGGCCCGGCCTGGTTTTTCCAGACACCTTACGACAAACTTGTAATTCTACCAGAAGGCGCCCTGACATCGTCAAATAGCAAGCGCTCTACTAATTTACATGACGATGACACAGCTTCGGACTTTATGCGCAAGGGAGTGGCGCAGCCAGGCGACAAACCATGGTTCTGTTATTGGAATGCTACTTTGCTAGAGGCGTTTATTTACGTCAACGAGACCAGCAGCGCTGGGGCTCGAGCGTCCTCTTCAAGTTACCCAACCCCAACAGGAGCTACAGCAACTCCATATTCCTCAGGCGTTCCTACTTCAAGTGCTTCACCATACGGGTTTTCTGGGCAGGTGTCGGATCCTGTCTTTCTCCCTTGTTACCCGAAGGTGGTCAAAGTTGAAGAACGTCGAATTCCACCTCGAGAGCACAGTATAGCTCCCTATTGCGTTCAACACTATATCGATGAAGACGGCTCGCCCCATCCGTACACCAACAGTACGGGTGAACCTGTTACGATTTACTTGAACGAGACGGAACCTACTGTTGTTTCCCCTATGGGTCGACGTGCCGTTTTTGATAACCTCGAGGGTGCGGGCCTAAGTGAACGGCAATCGAGTTCTACCTGTGGTTGTGTGTGGTTGGCTCAGTGACTTGTTGAAGTATGTCTATTGGAGTTTGGAGTTCTTATTTGTGCACATAAGGACAGGGCATAGGCGTTTAATGATATATCTGGCGTACCTTCCTAGGTTGGTAGAGTGGGTGCCACTGGAATGCGAAAAGAGGGCATACGATGCGATTAGGGTTTGATGCGTTATGGAGAATTATTGGAAGGCTTGATTTATGTTCTGACCTAGTATAGTCATATATTACCACGAGCCCCATTTCTAGTA